CCCTGCTCAGCGGGAAGCCTGCTTCTCCCTCTCCCACTCCTACTTCTTGTGTTCCCTCTCTCACTGTGTGTCTCTCTCTCAAATAAATAAATAAAATCTTTAAAAAAAAAATAGGTGTTGAAATCTATAGCCAAACTACTCATAGTAGCCGGGGAGTATAGCAGAGAGGGGAGGTAATGATAGCTAATCTTTGTTGGGCCCTTACAAATTTCCAGGCACTCTTTTCTGTACTTGTCATGCATTAACTTATTTAATTCTTAAAGTACCTCAGAAGATTACCTTACAAGGTCAGCTGCCTTTATTATCTCTACTAATTACATTCTTAACCTCTTAGGTGAAGGTCACAGAGCTAGTGTGTGGTAAAGCCAGGGTGCCAACCTGCTCAGCCTGGCTCCAGTTTGTGCTCCTCCAGTGCTCATCTCACTGAAAAGTGGTGAAAAACCAGTTACTGATCTTAGACCCACTCGGGTTCCAGCCTATCCAAGTCACTTACATCCAGTATCCAATATCTATGAACCTAAAATTCAGTTTGAATAAATTCCTGTCATAGCCTAACTGTGATATCTTGGAGTGAACTTGTATAGACTGTCTGAATTTTCCTTTCAAGGGTTTCTCAGGTTTTCCCATTTTCTCTTTGACCATATATACCTCGAATCCCGTATATTTATATGAATCCCATATATAAATGGGGATACCTGTATTCTGAGCCAGTTCTTCAAAAAAATTTTGTGATCCTAAATTTTTCATAATATAGACCTTCTACTTTTTTCTTGCATTTTCCCTACCCAGCAGGATCCTAAGGCTTTGGTGGCCCTTCAGGCACCCACTGTGGCCCCTCCTCTGTCTCTTTTTCTGGAATGTCTTGGGGGTTTTGACTCCTGTCACTGTGGTAAGTTTTCTCATTGTTTCACTGTTTTTTCCTAGATGGAAAATCCCCCTCAAGTTTTTCTAAACCAAAGCTGTCTCTGGAGTTTTTTCTAAGCATTTGGGCTCAACAAGGAGGAAGATCCTCCAGCCTCCTAGTTTTCCCTAAACTCTTGCCTCTCTCTGGCTTTGAGTCCCCTAGACCTTAGACACCTTCCTCAGCTCTAAACACAGCAGAAACACCTTTGTCTCATTCGAGTTCTTCTTCGTTCCTCTGAGGTCTCGCTTCTTTTCACGTGAACCATGGTTAGTAGAGTTTTCTCTCTGCCATGCTGTTTTCCTCTGCTGTCTTGGAGGCCTCTGGGCCAGAAACCTGAAGCTCCCACTGTTCCTGCCTTCATTGAGATAGCACCACTTGTTTTTCAGTGGGGTTTGCTCTGTGAGTTTCTGGTGTTCTTCCCAAAGCCTGAACAGCAATAGCCTTCTCCTTAAATAGGATTTTCTGAAAATCTCACCCTGGATTTATGGTTTTACATCATTGTGCACATTTGATTCTGAATGCTGCTGTTTCCAGCCAAGCATTTTTTCCCTTTGTTTCCTTTTGAGCCTTTAGATTTGTGATAATATTTTAATAGTTTTTTTTCTTCCTCTTCAACTCGAGAAGACAAGAATAGGTATTTGTTCATCTTTATGAAAGGAAGTATGTGCAATGACATTTATTGCTGAAATCCAAAATACTCCAGTGGAACATGCAGTCTGGGTCTCTGTGGTTCATACACATGATAAGCTTTTCCATTACTTCCATGCACAGCTGGGAAGCAAGAGAAAGGAGAGCCCTTATTGATAACTGTTGGCCCTGGGGCACTGATGGGGGCAGGACGGTGTGGATTCTTGTTATTCACCCCCCTCCTCCCCACTGCCAAAGGCTGACTTCTCAGCTTCTGGGCTTCTCCCAACCCTGACCTTAACTTCCCTACCATATAAGGAGAATTGACTTGGTCAGGTAAGGGCACTTCAGTGGCCTCTATTCCAGTGGGCCTAGTCACTGTGCCTGGTTAAAACGTTAAGCCCACAGGATGGGTGGTATTTTTCTCCTTCCTGACTGTACATGGCCAGAGTGGTAAGACTGCGGCAACTCCTACATGGAAGAGCCCATAGCCCCCCCGCCTTCTCTCTTTCCCCCCTGTATTTGATGGACTTGCAAGTGACTGTCCTATGTGGAAGCCTAATAGAGTGACAGATGTTCTTTCTATTTCTTTCTGGCTTAGTTCTCTCCTATCCTGACTGGGGTACTCTCTACCAGCCTTCTTTATTATGGGTGGTAAGACTTAAGATAAGGTTTAGTATCTTAGTTTCTCCTATTCATACCAATACTTACTTTGGCCTGAAGCTCAGGATTACCACTAATAAAGGGAAAAGGAGTCCTCCATGGGATCTAGCCTAGCCTATGAAATGCTGCATCAAGAATTGGAGCCACAGGCCTAGCTAATAATGAAGTGTTTATGTGTTTTGCATTTCTAGTTCAGTCCTGTGGATATTTCTATCTGGAGAACCTAGAAGTGTGTTTGCTGAGACCACTGGCTAAATTTGGTATTAGTCTTTAATAGTCTTTAATTTTAATTTTAATAGTCTTTAATTTCCAGAAATAACACTGATCACCCATCAGTGCCAGTCCTACCAAATAAAAGCCTGAACACCATGATGTTCTGCATTGTTTGTTGTAACCATTCTCTGTCCCTGTTTGAGCTTGGGGTATTGAGAAATTTCAGTACATGCTAATCCTGAATTCTGATTGCCAGGTCCTATCCCATTTTAGGATTATTGTTATCTTTGTATGATTCTTTCATTATAAGAAGTCAGCTGCTCTTGACTTTATGCTTCCTCAGTGAGCCTGCTTTATAAATCTGTCTTCCCTGCTTTATAAATCTGTCTTTATAAATCTCAGCCTGCTTTATAAATCTGTCATTCAGGAGATGCTACCTGGTACTTGAGCACCAGGTAGAGGGGCACACTTGGCTGTGTGCAGAGTTGAAGAGCAGGAAGAAAGTAGTACGTCCACACTGTGAGAAAATGTCACCGAAGTAAGATGCATTTTAAAACAGTCCTATGAATCGAGGGTCAAGAGAGAACATGGTTACTTTGGCTTGCCAAATAATACAAGTTATGAGTTACGAGTCAGGTATGAAAATAGCCAGAATCTGAGATTTCTAAAGTAGTCCAGTTCATAGAGACAGTAGACTGGTGGTTACTAGGGCTGTGGGGAGGAGGAAGGATTGTTGTTTGGGGGGACAGAGTTCCAGTTTGTAAGATGAAGTTCCTGAGACCTGTTTTACAATAATGTGAATATCCTTAACACCACTGAGTTGTTCACTTGAAAACGGTTAAGGTGGTACATTTTGTTAAGCATCTTTTACCACACACACAAAATATATATATATGTTTAAGAAAATAGCCAGAATTCCAAATCCCTAAACTTTTTGATTGCCAAACTATAGTGACACTTCCAGTCCAGGTGTCACTGGGTATAGTCCTGTGAAACCCACGTTTTATTTCTGTTGCGGCCTCCTGGGTCCAGTGTGTCTTTGTCCTTCCTTTAGTTACCCAGTCTGAGCCCTGTGTAGCCTTCAGGCATTCCCTTGCCTTTACCTGAGAGGGTGGCTTGAGCTTTGCAGTCTCTCTTTCTCTCCAGGGCCTGGACATGGATTTGTCCCTTTGGGTCTTACTACTCCAACAGTACAGGGAGGAAGCACATTTCATAAAGAGAGTCATTCTCACCAAGCATTTGGGCTCATCTGACCTGAGCCTTCTGTGCTCACTTTCCTGCCCCTGTGCAGCTCTTGCTTGCCCTCAGGGCCGGAGCTGTCCCTGGGCCCAGCTGTGAAAGATTGCTCCCTTGAGGAAGACAGATCCAGCAGAAGCAGCCAAAGGGAGAGGGGCAGGGAGAAGCAGACGAATCAGGCAGTCCATTTGTTTACATTCCGTGGGACTTAAGAGTGCTTTGACTCTCTGTAGGTGTCGTCCTTGTGTCCTGGAAAGATAGCACTTTCTTTCAGTGCCCCGATTGGTGCTCCTCCTTCCTGAGGATGGCATGTAACCCCCGCAGTTTAACAGTGAGAGGGAGCATCTGCATGGCTTAACACTTCACCGATGAGTAAACTGAGGCCGATGAGGCCAAATGACCGATGGTCACAATGCCATTTAGTGTCACATCAAGAATTTGAACTTCGGACTTGCCTGCAAGTCCAGTGTTCTACCCACCAAACCATTATGATTCCTAATGCATGTATGTGTTATACACTGACTGGGTGGATAAGATAAACATGTGCCTTCTATGTGGTATTCTCATAGGGGCCATCACTGGAGTGGGTCACATTCTGTCCCATTGCTCCGGCATTTGTGTGTGCAGGGTTTCTGTGTGCAGAGTTGAAGAGCAGGAAGAAAGTAGTACGTCCACACTGAGAAAATGTCACCGAAGTAAGATGTATTTTAAAACAGTCCTGTGAATCGAGGGTCAAGAGAGAAAAGCTGAAAGTGGGGCAGAAACCGGGAGGAACAGGAGACAGACACGGAGGTAAGAAAGCAGTGCTCCACTGTGAACAGAGGAGGAACCCTAATTACAGGGAGGCGGCCCACTAGCCTCAGGAAGCCCCTGCCTGTGAGGTGGTGCTCTTGGCAGGGACGGTTGTGTCATGTGCTAATGGAAATAAGGGAGATAAGGAAACTCATACTTAGCCTCAGCTGTGCTGTGGGCACTCGGATAGGTACTTTCACATTTATCACCTTTAATTACCACAGCAAAGCATTGTAGATGTTATTATCCATATTTTTACAGATCAGCCTGAGATCAGACATGATCCCCTAGCAAGGGCTAGAGCCAGGGCCTCCACCCAGCTGTGTCATTCCGTAGGCCATTTTTGTGGGAGGACTTGGCTGAGAGAAAGCTGGGAATGCATACCTGTGTCTTCCTTTATCGCCTTAATGACACATGTAGTTACCCTTCTCAGAAGAAAACCTGGCATCATTCCCTCCACACTCTCTGTTGCCCTTCTGTGGACCTAAATTTATAGTCTTTGTGGTACTTTCCAGTTAAAGAAAATTCACGTGGCTTCTTTTGTCTTTTATCTTTTCTGCATTAGGAGTCATCAGGCCAAGTCATAAGAAAAGCAGTTGTCTGGGGGACAAAGTGAAAACAGCTCTCTTCCCCGTATCTCATTAAAACAGAGAGCCCACATTAGCCATTGAGCTTTGTGAGGGAGAGGTCAGGGAACCTCGGACTTTAGACATGTGGGGCTTGTCAAATGGGGGCAGAAGTAAAGGGTGAGGAGAGAAGGGGGAAAAAGGAAGTGAGGAGCTGACGTACTTGGGGCCCCAAGTAGGGAAAGTGGCCAAGGGTAGGGACAAGGTGGCCTCCCCAGGAGATACCGGGTGAGTGGCTGAAGGGGCCGTTGTCCGGGGTTCTCTTAGTGCTCAGGAGTCACACTGGATTGGAGTCTTTTCTAGCCATCTGGTGGCAGGGAAATGCAGAGAAGGCATCAAAAGTGACATAAATTCTACCACTGTCAGTAACGCTTTCTATAACAAAGTTTGACGTCATTCCAGAAAAGAAAAGCATAGACCCAGGCTGACATAAGTTTAGTTGGCAAATCCTGCCCAGAAGCGGAACTGCCTTTGACCAACTTAAAAAGTTGACCTCAGTGTCTTTGGGGGAAATTATCCCATAAATTATTGAGGTCAGTGATTATCGGTAATGCATTCAGGAGATGCTACCTGGTACTTGAGCACCAGGTAGAGGGGCATTTGAATACTAGTCAGGCATGTTATTAAGATGTTACATGGATGGCAGCCAATGGCCAAAGACTGATGGACAATTTGAGGATCCTGCTTTGAGGTCATTCCAGTTTTCAGAAGTGCATGGTACTCCAGTGACTAGATGCCATACATAAGTATCTGAACAGGCCTTTGGGTGAACAGAAACCTGGAATATGTTCTGAGGCTGGGCTTTCTGATGTGGAAGGGTTTGGCCACAAGAGATTTAGACCCAGGAGTTTTAGGTGACTGCTTAGACCGCTATAAGTGAAATTCCCCTGTCAGCTTTGACCCCTACAACTTCTGGTTACTGAAGTTGGCCCAGGAAGTCGAGGAAGCCTGTGTTCACTTCTCGGAGTGAGAAGCACATCTCAGAAAAGTGGCCGGGCAGTTGGGCCTTCTGGGGTGTTGTCAGCTAGGGCAGATGAAGACGTTCGAGGAGTAGACCAGCCAGAGGCCTGAGTGCTTTAGAGTGCCCGGGGAAACCAGGTGGATCGTTCTTCAGAGGCTTTCCGAAGCCTCCCAGGTGTGATGGCTAGCACCTTACAAAGTGGGGCTTCACTGTGACCTGTTACCATTGAGGTGGCCCAGGGCCCAAGCAGAGGGGCTGTAATGAGGAAAAATAACTCTAGTATCTGGAACAGTGGGGTACTAGAAAAAGTGTGGGAAATAGGAAGGACCCATTTGGGGCCATGAGCCTGCCCTGGGCAGCCAGAATGGGTGTCTTCCAGGCTGCTGGTATCTTCTATTCCAGGACTGATGGTGATGGTAAAGCTAAATAGAATGGGTTTGGCATTCCACAGACTTGATCAATGAGTTCTAAGTGATTGATGGGACTAAGTTATACTAAGATAGCTAGGGAAAGGAAGTGGGCTGGGTCCATGTGTGGCTTGAGTATCTAAGTCTTCCTATAGCCTGTTAATGTGTACTTTAGACTGGAATTTCCAGAAGGTATAGTAGAGATTAGTGAGGAGGTAGATATTGCTTCTGTCGTGTGCCCAGATCTCTGGCCTGGAACAGAACAAATAATCTATTAGTCCTGTTACTTGGCAGCATGCAGGCACCAGGGACCTAAATGGCCTTTCCACTTCTATTTTGTGTGCCAAAGCCTGTAGGAAAAGGTTAAGCAGAGCTATCCCTTCCCTTGGAGTTGTACCACTGCCAAATATCTGATTGAGTTGATTTCTGGCACTTCCTGATAATTTGTGAGGAGGAGGAGTTGCTAACCAAGTTGGGAACATGTCCCATGTTCTCTCTCCATGAACAGGGGCATCTATTATGTCCAGGGGGAACAAGATGATAGAATTGCACGGCCTTGGACCTGGAAATCAAGGTCTTACAAGAACACATTAGTGGATTGCTGCCTAATGGGATAATTTCTGAATCCTCTATAAAACGCCTGTCTGGGTAGAGAGTTATTTCCTGTGGTGTTCATCTTTAAGTTCTCTTGTATAAAACTTGACTTTGGGATTATTGTGGAGGAATGTGGGGGACATTTTTCTTACTTCGGTAATAAATTACTAACACGAGTAAGTGTTCATCTTACCATTTGTTCATGTACTTTCAGGCTTTAAAATAAAAATGTTTAATGTGGAATCTCAACTCCCTTTTGATTTCTGGATCCTTTTACGCTTCAAAAAGTGTTACTAAGGACCCCAAAGAGCTTTCTGTTGATGTGGGTTACAGGCATTGATATTTACCATAAATTGAAATGAAAACTAAAATTTTTCAAAAATAATTTATTTAAAAATAAACACATTTTGTGTTAACACAGATGGCATTTTTATGAAAAATAGCTATTGTCTAAAAAAAAAACCAAAAACATGTAGTGGGAGGAGTGGCAATGTTTACATTTTCATAAATTTTCTTAATAATGAGGCTTAAATTGAAGGCATCTCCTTCTGTATTCAGACTTTGAGTTTGTGGTTTTGGTTGAAGTAGCTGAAGACATCTGGCCTCACAGAGATGACATAGTTGGAAAAGGGATTGTTTTTGTAGCCTTTTCAGGTAATTGTGAGTTCAATTGTGTACAGCACTAAAACTTGACAAGTGGTAGGTTTGTAAAAGTCGCAACATCATTCTGAAACCACACCAGTGAACTTTTTTACTCTAAGTAGAGTAAAATCCATGGGTCTCTCTTGTACTTTTTTTTTTTTTAAAGATTTTATTTATTTATTTGACAGAGAGAGAGACAGAAGAGCACAAGCAGAGGGAGTGGCAGAGGGAGAGAGAGAAGCAGGCTCTACACTGAGCAGGGAACCCGATGCGGGACTCGATCCCAGGACCCTGAGATCATGACCTGAGCCAAAGGCAGACCCTTAACCATCTGAGCCACCCAGGCGCCCCTCTCTTGTACTTTGAACAGATCTTTTACCTGTGATGATTTTATTAACTCACACATTGGTCATTTGGAAAACATTGATTCACTGAGTTACACAGATCTTGCAAATGTTCATACATTTCATTATATGTAATATAAAAAAATCACATTTTTTAGGATCACTGTCAGTCTCAATGGAAAAGTCTTCAAATATTGGAAAGCTATAGAACTCATGGTGGCATACACAAGTTTCCCAAAATCCCAGTTTTCCCTTGTAGGTTTGGGTTTGACCATTGGCAACATACCATCAGTGGTTTACTGTTACCTCAAATGTCCGCCCAGTATCTGAGTCTGCGTAACCAGTTTGTCAATCATTCTTTCGAGTAAAAAATGATGTTTTGTCAAGAAAAAAGGCTAGTTGAGGTTACACCTCAGTTATGCAAGTGCTTTTCCTTAGGCAGCCGTTGTACTTTGCTGTGCAGCCTGGTGTATTTCCCATTTTATTATTTTTTTTTTTTAAGATTTTTTGTTTTTTAAATTTATTTGACTGAGAGAGATACACAGCGAGAGAGAGAACACAAGCAAGGGGAGTGGGAGAGGGAGAAGCAGGCTTCCCGCAGAGCAGGGAGCCCGATGTGGGGCTCGATCCCAGGACTCTGGGATCATGACCTGAGCTGAAGGCAGACACCCAACATGATATGATAAATAGAAGTTTAGAAAATATGCTTGTATGTATTTAATACAAATATAAACATATTTGATGTAAGTATAATAAATGGGTCTAGATTTAGTAAAATTAATGATTTTTATTGCTTTTTCAAGGGTATTCCTAAGTGAAGCTTTTTTTTTTTTTTTAAACTCTGAGTCCATAGAGATGAGGAATACAACTGACTGCTAGCACTCTTTGGTCTCTCTTAGGTTTTCATGTGAGGAGCCAAGAAGTCTGTAGTTTTACCAACAAATACTTTTATATCCTTAGCGCAAATCTCAACCCAGTGAAAAAAGCAAACAGTGTCTTAGTATTATTCTTTTTTTTTTTTTTTTTTTAAAGATTCATCTATTTATTATTTTGAGAGAGCGAGAATGAGAGAGAGTACATGAGAGGGGGGAGGGTCAGAGGGAGAAGCAGGCTCCCCGCGGAGCAGGGAGCCCGATGCGGGACTCGATCCAGGGACTCCAGGATCATGACC